AACAAGAAGAAATTGCTTATGTGTGAAGCCATAAAGGCAGGACTTACTGTGCTCCCGTTCTTTCAAATTTGAAGAGATTAAAGGTTAGTCAACTTTCCAAAACACGTACAGTCAACACAAATTGACAGCACAATCTGTGCTGTGTTGTTCAACACTGTAGGGAACTCACCACCCCAACAGGGCACTGGGGGTGTCTCCCAGGGGAGAGAGGAGATCAGGATTTGTGGAGAATAAGATGTTTTGGTTTATAAGACAGAGACTTGATCAGCCGAAGCTCAAGACACAGCAGCTCAGAATTGGTGGACATAGGCAAGGATTTTGCGGCAACGCATTTGAGGAATTTAGAGTATAAGCTGTTGGTGGTTTCCTTTGGTTGATACATAGTTCAGGAAGTTTCTGTAAGGAGCTCTCAGACCATTTCTTGGGTAGTAGTCTCCTGGAGTAAGAAAGTAATGCTGATGAGATAGTGAAATGGTGCATTTCTGTTGATGGGGTTGTGAACTCTGTTGGCATGTACGTGTTGCTTTAAACCTGGGTTAAGTACTTTGGTCGAATGAAAAAGTGCCTAACTTGGCCAAAGATTGATTTCTGACCCAAGGGGAGACTTAGAAAGAGCTCCATAATTCCGCTAGGCTGAGAAGTGCCAAGCTAAGACCTCTTTGAAATTGGCATCAAATTGTTTGGTCTACTTCCAAGCAAAATTGATTGAATGGCTGAAGATACCAGGGAATCTGTGAGTCCAGGAGGTTCTGCAGACCAAGGCAGTCAGCCCTACTTACTTGCAGTAGGAAATCTGTGCTCAGAGATGCTTGATGCTGATTCCTTGATTAAATTGGATGAGGGACTGAACTGGTATCCATCAATAGCTGGCCTGTTAGGACTGGACCTTTCTGGCACCTCTCCAAACCTGCACCAAAGTTTGCAGCTCAGAGCAGTCTGAAATAGTCATGGCAAATGGAGCCCCTTTCTGCTCTCTTCAGTCTTAGCCAGATCTAATCTTGTTGAACTGGGTGTCACTGGGTTTGGTCTTTGCATTTTGTTTTGCCGACATTGATTTTTGTTAACATCAGGTCTTGTGGTTTGATTTTGTAAATGCAGATGTGCTCTCTTGTGCTGTGAGAAATGAGCACTAGAATTTTCTTTCCTGGTGAAGTTTGCTTTTCTGTGAAGTCCAACTTGACTGACATATAGTCTGTTTCATAACTTCAGTTCACATTATCGGGGCTAGATCTGTGAGATGTCCTTTGGGACCTCATGTTGAACCCATACTACAAGATGGTGATGCCTCTGACGGTAGAAATCAAATCCCAGAAAGGGATCCTCTTCAAGCTTTTGTTGTTTTCAGACACCACAGATGATGCATGTTGATGTGTTTCAGAAGAAGCATTGAGAGCTCTGAGCTAAAACTTAAGTAATTAAAGTAGGTGGGTCAACTTTATCAAAGGCTGATCTCCGTAGGTAAGTCTGTCCGTTGATGGCTGTGTTATGTTGCTCTTTTGATGCACCTGCAGGGACCTTGAGGGGAAGAAGGAGCCACTTTAAGAAGCTGATATTCGTATTCTATTTTTTCATATTCATAGTATTTCAGTGTCCCAGTCCTATTCTCATGTATAGCCTAATTAAAATTAGAGATGGGGCCCTCCCTGGTGGCATAGTGGGTTAAAGTGCAGCACTGTGAAGTTAAATCCACTGCAGCACGAATTTTGATTTCCCACCAGGGGACCCACATGGTGTGGCAGATCTCTCCTGACCTGCCCGCTGCTCCCCTTGGCAGTGTTCTTTGTCGGTCTGTCTGTTCTGCTCCCCACGCTTTCTCTGGTGAGTCCTCTCACTGCCCCTGCACCTCTGGCTTGTACCCTAGTTCCGTATGAATAAGTAAATAAATCTTTACAAAAAATTTTAAAGAAGTAAATAAATAAAATTAGAGATGGAAATCACTAAAATGTGTTTTCCCAATGTCTGATGAAAACTCTTCCTGAGTGCCTCTTGAGTTTTAGAAATATTGGAGAAGTAATAACGCTAATGTACAGTTCTGAGGCTGGGAATCTTGCCTTTTTTTTAGGGCTCATTCAGTTTCTTTTGGATCCTGATTGTGCAGATTGGCACTGATTGTGTCATAAAAGAAGAGTCCTCTGCTTCACATCCTTTGGGAAGGAGGAGGAATGAATCGTTAGGAAGTGTCTGCTTTGTATCAAGCTCTGTGCTGGGCTGCTCAGTTTACCAGGGAAATGTTGAAATCCGTTTCTGCGCCTGGTTATTGGGTCTGTCTGCTCGAGGGGGTTCTGTTGACATTTTGAGCAGGAAAACTCTTTGTGGTATGGGTTGCGCCCTGCTTGCAAAGGCATTTAGCACTCCTGACTCCTTCCTTAGTGTCAGCAGCTGTTCAGTCACCGTCATCATCAAATCTACCCACTGCCGGGGTCAGTACCCCGAGCAGAAGGTTGTCCTGGTCTGGCACTGGCATGGGCTCTTGACGGTACTCTTGAGCACTGTTGAATACTTTTTGGAGAGTAGATATGTAGATGCCATCTCTGGGCAGGTGACTCTGTTGCAGTAGATGATTCTGTCAGTCAGTCAGTATTTGTATTACCTGAGATTTACATAATATTTATGCTTTGGAAATCAGTTGGAATACAGTTCATCCTTATTTTTGATTAAATATGAATCTATTCCATATAGTTAATGACTTGATTTTATTCACCTTTTTCTTTAAGTGTTCTGGCATCATTTTTAAATAGCCAGAAACATAACATATTACGCATTTTATTGTATTACCTTTTCCCCAGTCCATACATCTTTTTTAAAGGCCAGATATTATGGAAGGAAAATATGGAACTTCTGACTAAGACAGATAGCTGGAAGTCCACTTTTCCCTCGCTGTCAGCAATTCTACATATACTTAACTTTCAAGGAATACATACATGTTTCACCTGCTTCAAAGTTTAGCCAGTTGACAGTATTTCTTAGTAAGCCTAAACTGATAATGGAGTCATTATCCTCTGCTATCCTCTGTGTCTTCAGCCACATTATGCTAATTGAGTATAATGATTTAAGTAGACCATTGTATTCTCTTTGAGCTCAGTGAAAGAAGACTGACCTGGGCATTATCATTATTTCATTCATTCCACAGATATTTACTGTATTTTGGGAAATTATGAATAACAGAGATGTAATAAACCCTGATTTCACATGAGCACAAATGAGCATAAATGAGTAAATTGCTAGTTAGGTTTGAAGACAGTGAGTGCTATAGAGAAGAGTAAATTTGGTAATGGGGGGGGCGGAGTGAAAGGTTGGGCTATAGAAGTAGTGTCTCATTTAAGTGGGTCAGAAAGCTTTCCTGACAAGATGGCTTTTTTGAATTTAAAAAATGTATTTCTTATACCATCCTTCATTTTTGAACAATACACGATTTCCCCATGAAATGACCGCCTCAATCCCATTTACCTATGCATCATCACCATAATCCCTTATGCTCTTTGTTCCCCTTTCCTGATTCTCTGAGAAGGTGATTTTTAAGCAGGCAAATGGAACTTGCTGAGTGAACTCCACCCCTCTTGACTCCATGTGCTGTTTTAGGTGCCAGAATAGAGAGGGGTTCTGATCTGCAAAAAGTCAGCTTGCAGGCCCAGAAGATGGGCGTGCACATGACAGTGAGAATGCTCCAGATCATGGCTGCTCAAAGTTTAACATTGATTCAAAAAAAATTATTTTAGAGTACCTATGGCACCTATTTTGGTAAGTAGGATTGCAACTGATGAGCTACTTTTTTTTTTAAAGAGGAGATAACTATACAGAATGGCAGAAAATAGCAGTTATTTATTTTAAAAGGAAATAAGAAAAATAAGATCATGCATACAGTGAAGTTTGTGTCCATATTCACTGGTCCCCACAGAGTTAATGCTTCTTCCAAGCTGGTGACATCATGAGGCTACAAGGGTCCTTTGGGGAC